ATTAAAGAAACAAAAATATAAGAATCTACCTAACGGTTTGCCGTGCCAATGGTTAAAAAAGTAAAATATATAGGGATAAATTTAAATAAATGTTTATATTAATAATTTTATATTGACATATCAAATTAGGTAGGCCCCTTTCCAATTTTGACTTAGCGCATCATCTAACTTTCGGGTGAGTGAATCAACTTGGGTTTCTTATCTGTCACATTCGCATGAAAAATATGCACGCATGTGCATGTGGGAATTTAAATTGAAAGCTTTTCAGTGATAACATACGACATATGAGTTATTTCACAATGGTCTATTTGGGAGTGCTTCCGAAGGGGCTAATAACAACCAAAAGCACTTCTGACAGCGTTTCGCAAAACAATTTAGAAGTGCTTCTGGGTCATAGAAGCTCTTTCTAGAGAGTACCTACCATGTGCTTCTTTGAGAAGCACTCCCAAGTGGTTTTCAATGAAGTGCTTAGATTTCTTATGAAAATTTCAACATTTTTATAATAAAAGCGCTTTTGCTAGAAGCACTTAAAGTGCTTCCTAGATAAGCAATCCCAAACGATCCCTAATTAAACAAATGGTAGTGAACTTTTCTGCAATTGTCATAATTAAACACGTCATACAAGTGTGGGTTCACAATTAAACGTAACCATTGAACTGAACAAATAAATATTTGTCGTCAAAAATAAATACAATCAAGACACAAATTAAGGTATGACTACACTCAAAATCAGAACCCCATTGCAAACATGGGTTAGACTAGTTGGTCAAGGTCGTACACAATGTGGTATAGAAGAGTGTTGCTATTTTCAACCCCCCTCCCCCCCGCCCCCATCTTATTACCCTACCCACCATGTGGTATTAACAATTCTCATAAGACGAGTCATGAACTTTCTCAAGAATCAGGATCGAAGGAGTCGAGATTCAAAAGGTATAAATTCTAAAAATAGGTTTGTTGACTATAATGATGGTGGGTCTAAATCTCGCATGTCAAATGAGCGAAAGAATCTAAGAGAAAAGGTCCAATATTTCGAATGTGAAGGCTATGGACACATATCTTCAGAATGTGCCAACACCTTAAAAAAGCAAAAGGATGGGAAAAATAAGGCATTGCATACTACGTGGAGTGACAATGATTCTAACTCTGAAAATAATGAGAAGGCCATTGCACTTGTCACGATCGTAAACTTAGATGAACCAACGAAGAAGGATGATGATTGTGAAGATATGAATATTGAATTTATCATGAACAAATATGATGATTTGTTGGCTGCTTCTCAAACACTCATCAAACAAAATGAAGAGCTCGTAAAATCCATTGTCGTGCTGAAGCTGGAAAATTGCAAGATTGCAAACGAGTTTCAATCCCTTGATGCAGATTCCAAACAGGTAAGTGCAAGTATGAACGAAAAATTAATGTTTTTGCAGAAAAAATTGATTGATTAGAATAAATTAATTGCATCTCTAACTTCTAACAACAAAACCCTTGAACTTGAACTTAAAAATTCAAAGGAAATGATTGTTTCTTTAACCATTGGTGCAGAAAAAATTGACAAGATGATTAGCATGGAAAGAAGAGATGGTGACAAATTGAATCAAAACTAATATTCATGCTTGAATAGTATGAGTGGTCTCCTGTTTGACGTTTTTAACTAGTGTCCATATTGTATCAAGTTTGGTTGTTTTAGTTTGAATAGGTTTTAGAGTTATAGTTGCACAGCAAGTGTGGTCACATGGGTTTCTCTCTAGGGAGAGAAACCTGCTTTGAATAAAAGGACGGTTGGTTCTTTTTATTGTTCAGCTTTTCAACGTAATTACATCCTTGAGTATATTGAATATTTTAGAAAAAGTTGTTGTGCTTTTTTTTTCTTTGGTAAGTCATTAAGTGCTCCTTTCTTGCTTGGTGATTTATCGAATCTATTCATTATTTATATTGCATACATATGCATGTCGGTGATTCATACGGTTTGGGCTCCGAGACTGTTGCGGCATTTATCCTTTGGCGAGCTTGAAGCAATGTGACTAGTATTGGGTTCAACATAAGGAGTGTCGAAGATCATCTCGTGACAGAAGTTGAGTTACGAAAAAGTCGGTAAACATTATCTAGAATGTGTCTAGGATAAGTGTGTGAGTACTTCTTGTAATCATCGTTCTATAGTATATTTGTGTTGGACTAAGGAGTCCCGTGAATTTTCCCCCAAAAATGGGGTTTTATCACGTAAAATAATTCTCTACATGTTCTTTTATTTTATGCTCAGCACGTTTCAGGATTGATAAGCCATATCAATCCTGCTACCAAAGTTTATTCTGATTTATTAATTATAATTTTAAATTGGCTTATTCACCCCCCTTTTTAGGCTTTTAATGATCCTATAGGTAATTTCAATCATGATTGAATTGCCTGCAATGAGCTTTAATTGCATCGAGCCATTATGAAGTATGTCAGAGCCCACAACTCAGCATTAACCCATCCTAGACTGGCCTAACTTCTTGAGCTTGATTGAAAGAATTACATTACTGTCAAATTTATATGTTTTTCAAGAAAAGCTAAAAACAATAGAACTTAGCCAAAACAACTAACAACATGCATTCCAGTTTATGCATTAAAACGGAAAGCTTTTCAATTATAACATACGTCATATAAGTTAATTCATAATTAAATATATAGTAATAAACTTTCCTTGAACAATCCCTAGCCGGTCATGATTAAACACGTCATACTAGTAGGTTCATAATTAAATGTAGCCAACTGCACTAAACAAAAGCCAAGCACATTATAAAATAAAATTGGTCCTCTACAAAAAGTGGTAAGTAGAGCACAAGAGAAAAACTCTAGCCGCTAAGAGAGAGAGAAAGCCTCAAATTCGGGGAAATCCTAAATCCCATTGGATATTCGCTATTCTTTGATATTAATTTAGTGGATCTATGTCGATATACTCTTCTTTTAACTAATCTATTGTCTCAAAATCAGAACCCAACCTAACCTAACCATTTTCATGTTAAGTATATGTAACATCCAATGATATTTATCTCTTAATATATACAGCTATTTATGCATGCATATTTAATTAAAAAAAGATTAACAATAATCGAAAATGAATGACTATTAGAAGGGATTTAAACTTCGTAGTTGCTAAAACTGAGGTGATCGACCAAGACACATGCTTAATTAGTTTTTCAGTGCAGATGACTAGAAACATAACACTAGTCAAGTAAGCACAAAAACTTCTAGAAAAACTCAGTCCAATATATAAGCTAACCTAACCAATTATTTGATACAACAAAATTGTCTTTAACTTTCATTAATAAGGATTTAGGTAAGGAATGCTGTGTATTCGAAATGGTTGTATCCGTGGAGGCATCTTTTAAGGAATAAATCACACTAGATAAGAAATAAATAACAGTAGATGCTATGCATGCACCTAACATGAAAAAATTTAGGTTAGGTGGGGTTTTTCTTTTTAACTTTATTTCCTTTCTAGAAAAGATTTCTAGGGTAGTTTGCAATGTTTGTTTGTACAGGGCTGGGAATACCTATTTTGTTTTATTTAAATAAAATATTGTTCATCCAGAAAAGTTAAGGTCCGTTTGATAACCATTTCAATTTTAGTTTGTAGTTTTTATTTTTATGGTAGAGTATAGAGGACAATGAGAGTAAGAATGGGAGTGAGGATGAGATTGAGAGAGAGGATGAGAGGAGACGATGGGAGGGTAGAGTAACAAAAGTTAAAACCAAAACTTGCAAGTGAAAACAATTTCAAATAGATTTCAGATTTTAGTTTTTGGTTCCACTTTTGTTACTCCTTCCTCCCTCCTCCCCTCTCATTTTCCTTCTCAATCTCATCTTCACTCTCATTCTCACTTCCATTATCCCTCTTTTTCCTCTATACTAGCACAAAAAGTGAAAAATGAACTAAAAACTAAAATTGAAATGATTATCAAACGGCCCTAAGGTTTTGATATCTTGCCATTATTACTAAACACATGATCTATAAATTGTTGTTGTAGGCACAATTATTAGTTGCCCGCTATTAGCATGACAACGCTATTGCACTTAGTTGATAGTTTAGTGCTTTTTTAGGTCTCTGGTTTGAATCCCCACAGTATCATAGTTGTTTGGGTGTGAGAGAAATCTCCCTCCCTTGTAATTTAGACTATCGCTTGTATCGCTTGTATTGCTTGTATTGCTTGTACTAAAAAAAAAAAATTAACCTTTTGATGTCGTACAATTATTACTAAATACATCAACCAATTAATGCTATCGTTGTTGTCGTAGGCACATTTATTACTTTCTTACGTAGTTGTCAAGTTCCGTACATAGTTGTTACCCTCGTACTTTCATCCAGAAAAATTAAAATTTTGAAGTAATCCAATTATTACTAAACAGATCAAAAAATTAACACAATTGTTGTTGTACACACATTTCTTAATTTATGCCTGACATTACCATGGCGAGTACCGTTTTACGTAGTTGTTACCCTCGTATCGTACTATCATTTACTACAATAATAGTAAAAAAAGATTCGCATAACATCTTCTTATACAATAATTCTGGTAATTCGCAATTTTTGTTGAAGTTCTGATAGTTCTATACAATAATACTGTAGACAATAGTTCTGATATTTCTCTCATACAATTTTTGTTGAAGTCTTTGAGAATTTTTGTTGAAGTAGATAAGTGACTCGCCTGCTTCCTTTTGTATATTTAATCATGGTGAATAATGTACCTTGAAACGTATGGCCAAAATGCACCTGTCAACCAAAATGGAAATCAGCCCTGCCCAGATTGCGAAGCAAGCAGATAAAATCAAACCTGTCAACATAATACCAAATTGGCACACAGATTCAAGCCCCTTTGTTTTCACAAACCACCCCTACAGAACAGTGCACTTCATCTATAAAAGCACATAAGACTGGGTTAATATGTACACAAAGCGACCATCTTTTCTCCTCTAATTTCTAAGTAGGTCTTGGCTTGGCTTCCATAGAGAAGAATATTAGAATGGTTGAGGTTTATGAGGAATATGATTCCCAAGGAGAAGAAGAAGAAGATGGTCTGAATAGGAAGATGGTGTTGGTCTCAAAGAGACTAATGGTTGAGATCAAATATCGAATCGATGATTTACCAGAGGTAAAATATATATCATTTTCGTCATTTTATATTCTATATTTATCTAATTTTTCACATATTTTGTGTTCTCTTGTTGTGCAGTGGCTACTCCAAAACAAATTAGAGAGGCCATGCAGGTTTACTTAGCTCCCTGGTCAAGAGTTATCTGCAGCTTGCTGGTGGGTTTTGAATTCTTGTATCAAATTAAATTCTTTTGTTCTTTGTTATTAGATTCGTTCTCCTTAACTTCCTTTGGATTTGTACAGAAAATCAAACTGGAAATGTGAACACTCTTTTATGATACGCTGAGGACTTCATAGCCAATACAATCATGCTTTGAAAGAGCAAGACCTAATTTTGGATGTGCACTAATGTTCATGCAGGTTGCTTCTTTCGCCACTGCTGTGCTGGACACATACGAGATGAGGCCCTTGAAGAACCGTGACCGATAAGGGTATCCTGAACAAGCTAATGGTTGAGGTGCAAAGTGTTCGTTGTCGTGTCCCTCCTAAGTGCAAGACGTACGGGTTTCGCAACAACTAAGTAATGCATGTGGTGTATTTTTCACATGGTATATTAATTATGAATGTATGCTTGGCTTTCCAATTCCAATGCTATGAATTGGTGTTTGGAGGGATGGTGTGCAAGTGGTGTATCCTAGTGGATAAGGGCTCGGATTTTGGGTATAAAACTCTTGAGTGTTTATTCTTGTACTTGTATTTTCCCTGGTATAAAGAATTTGGTAACACCGTGGACGTAGGCAGGTGTTTTGCCCAACCACATTAAATTCTTGGTGTTCTCTTTTATTTCACATTGTCATCAGTAGTTGCCGTGATGAGGGGACTAATTTAAGAGAGAATTTTTAAAATGATTACAACATAATAATATCACGGGAGGTCTCCCATGTCTCTTGTGACGCTTGGTGTGTGGCTTGTTGAATCTCTCAATGAGATTGCAATTGTTTTGCTTCTCTGTTTTGTCATCGATGGTTCAGGCATTCTGTTGTATTGGACTTTATTTGTCCCCCTCCCCTGCTTTAGGTGTGGGCTTGAATGAATATCATTTTCGACCCAAAAAAAGGCCTCTTCCTTTTGTTAAACATAGAAATAAGAACAAATGAGATAGGTGAATTCTCTCCAATTTTTCATAGGTCTCTCCTTTTTTTCCTCTCTCTCTCTCTCTCTCTCTCTCTCTCTCTCTCTCTCTCTCTCTCTCTCTCTCTCATGTTGCTACCAAATCTCAATAACAACACCACACCTAAAACACTACATGTTATCTATTGGAGAAACAAAAATATAAGAAATCAACCTAACAGTTTGCCATGCCAATGGTTAAAAACATAAAACATATATTAGGATAAATTTAAATAAAATGTTTATATTAATAATTTTATATTGACATATCAAATTAGGTAGGCCCCTTTCAAATTTTGACTTAGCGCATCATCTAACTTTCGGGTGAGTGAATCAACTTGGGTTTCTTATTTGGCACATTCGCACGAAAAATATGCATGCATGCGCACGTGGGGATTTAAATTGAAAGCTTTTCAGTGATAACATACGACATATGAGTTATTTCACAAAGGTCTATTTGGGAGTCCTTCCGAAAGGGCTAAAAGCACTTTGTGACAACCAAAAGCGCTTCTGACAGCATTTCGCAAAACAGTTTAGAAGTGTTTTTGGGTCATAGAAGCGCTTTCTAGAGAGTACCTACCATGTGCTTCTTCGAGAAGCACTCCCAAGTGGTTTTCAATGAAGCGCTTAGATTTCTTATGAAAATTTCAACATTTTTATAATAAAAACGGTTTTGCTAGAAGCGTTTATGAGCATAAGTGCTTCCTAGATAAGCAATCCCAAATGAACCCTAATTAAACAAATGGTAATGAACTTTTCTGCAATCATCATAATTAAACACGTCATACAAGTGTGGATTCACAATTAAACGTAACCAATTGAACTAAATATTTGTCGACAAAAATAAATACAGTCAAGACACAAATTAAGGTATGACTACACTCAAAATCAGAACCCCACTGCAAACATGGGTTAGACTATTTGGTCAGGGTAATACACAATGTGGTATAAAAGGGTGTTGTTATTTTCACCCCCTGTCTTATTTCCCCACCCACTGTGTAAATTTGACAAAACACGATCCTATCTTCTCACCCACCATTATTCCTAAAATACCCTTTCATCATTGACGGGCTAAATGAACCCACCCCTCTAGTGCTAGCCCCTGCAATCCCATCCCCAGGTCTCCACCATCATTGACTACAAATGTAAATATAAGAACCAAAACTGAAATTGAAAATGTCTTTCATAATCACTCTACAGTGAGAGACATGAAAGATGAACATTAAAATGAGTGAGAAAATTCATGGTGAATTTCCATCCCTCTTCCCCAACCATCCCACTCTATATCTTAAAGAGGGAGAGCCAAGCCCTAGTACCTTCACTGTTTGGACCTGATTTCTGTGCGCCGGCCCATCTAGCTATTGGGCTATTTTTGACAAAATAGACTTGGGCTTTATTTACCAAAATTGGAGATCAGCCCAAGTCATTTCAAAAAGGGGAAGTTAAAATGAAACCAATTACCCAAATTAATCTTCATGGGATAAAGTTTAATTACCACCAATAGTGATTTAATCTAAAAGCCCGAATTTAATTTGTTTAATTTTTACCCAGTTTCTAGATTACATTTTTAAAGACTTGAAGTTTGATCATTACCGTTGGTTACTGATTCAAAGCCAGATTAGCGACTCTAGAGCCAGAGGGGTTGAGTTTCTTTCAGCAATACCCATGTGATTCCAACGACAAGACGTCAACAGGAAACAGACAGAGGACATTCAGGGGAGTTGGTGGAAAGGTGAAAATAGGAACCACTCGTTAGTGAAACATCTAATTCTAGTTTGCAAAAACGCACAGGAGGTATGCAAGGGAGTTGATTGACAAAAACTCAAAACTGATCACCAAAACTGACTCTTGATATGGGCTATTTTTGTCAGAATAACTACTACTCCCTTATTTGCTGGAGCGAACACTTTTCAGCAAATATCCTCTAGATATTTAGGAATCGTCATCATGTAGATTTTCTATAAATACAAGAGGATGTGAACTGGAGAAGGGATGACAAAAAATAAAATCAAAACAAAAACTCGCAGTCACATTGACAAAAATCAAGCAAGATCACACGATCTAAAAAGTCTTCAAACTCAAAAGCAATCAGGCTATCAAGCAAGTTATTACATTCTACAGTCTGTTAGGGTTTTTCAATCGCTAACAGTGGCATGCTCACACATAAAAGAAAGTTGACTTGTTGATCACCAATGGTTTTCATGTCAATGAGGAACTTTACCATACCACCACAGGAACTACATCAAAACAAGTAAACATTCACTCAACAATCACACGTCTTATCTTGTTTTGTGAATTATAAGCAAATCAAATATGGCATCCTCGAAAACTTTTCTTCTGCTTGGCCTTGTGTTTGTTGGTGTCGTCCTTATCTTCTTTGAGGTCTCATTCAAAGAGAGATGGGAGGAGAGAGAAAGAAGGAGATGGATTTAGGGGAGAAATCACACTTCCTAGCTTGAGTGGGATTGTAAAATAAAGTCTTTTCATTCAAATATTAAATATTAAAAAAAATTAATTTAAGTCCTTAGAAGTCATTTTACAAAAGGGTAAATTTGTCTTAAACTTTTTGAAGATAAGATGAGTAGGGAAATAGGATAGAGGGGTGAAAATAACAGCACTCGATATAAAAACATAGTATGCCCAACACTTTTCTTTGTTTTTATCATAGGATATTAGCAAAATAAATAAATTTAAACTTTGAGTCTCGAGACACTCTTAACTAATAGAGCTACATAGCCCCCACGCAATGACAAATAGTGAAAAACTCAGGGCACACTTTCAACAACCGTTCTGTCTTTAATTTGCATATATTATTTTTCTCAGCTAAAGATAGAAAAAAGAAGATGGGAACAAAATATGGGAGAGATGAGGAAGAACGAAGAGAGAATCATGGAGGTAGGTAGCATAAAGAAATGAACAATCTAGCTAAGAAATGAGGGCACGTACCTTTGTTGGGAGGAGACTATAAAGGTGTTGAGCAGAATGCCATAAAGGGAACAAGATTGTAAATGTGTAAAGAAAGAGAAAAATGGAATATACAACTTTTTTATTGCGCTTTGAATTCTATGTATTGACTCTTAGGGTGGGCCAAGCCACTTTAAGGGGAGTTGATGGCCAACCACCCCTCCTTGTGTTTTTAATACAAATGATAGTTTAAGCTACAAAGGAGAGAGGTTTCTTACACATACACTACCAAGGTATCATCGAAATTCCAACTTCATACCATTAGTGTGCAAATTAAGGCCTTTTTCCACTAAGATAGACCCATTGGCACCCCCAAACCTCAATCTAGCCAACCCTAAACCCAATATATATCTCCAACATTTAAGTCAATGAATGTTGAAAAGAAAAAAAGGTGTTTACTATGACTTATACATTGCTAAATAACCTTTTTTTCAAAAGAAAAAAATGCAATATATTGCATTTATAATTCAGGCCTAAAGGCTATCAGTTACACGGCCCAATACAAATACAAATAACCACATATGCTTAATACAATAAAAATAACCACATAAGGTTAATCCAAACACAAAGGAGTTCACCAGGAACAACAAGCACACAAGGTGTACATCTACTCATAGCCACACAGAGCCTACAAAATTCCAACAAGCTTGGAAAAACCATACATATACCTCAACTCACCAAACTACAATTGTAACTACAACCTTTTAATTCTCACAAGTATAAAATACAAGTAGAGACTACAAATATGCAACAAACTCAGGAGTTGATACACTTATTACAACTCAAAAGATACTGTAACATAAAACAAGTAAATAAAAGTTGATTTGCCACCACGTCGTCACCAAGACAGCCAAGCACCACCAAATTCAACCAAGATAGCGGTGTTGGCGGGGATGAGCTGAGGAGCAAAAGTGGAGAGGGGAGGGAAAGGCTTGGGAGGGTAAGGAGGAGATGGAAGGGGAGGACGAGAGGGGGCTGGTGGCTGAAATTTTTCTTTCTTAGGGTTTTCCCTTTTAGAATAACATTTTTCTGGTACAGTAATATTGGAAAAATAATATAGTTCACATTTTGACTCAATAAATCCAACATTTAGGTCATGTTCCAACATTCGAGTCTTGATATACGTTATATATGTGGTTGTAAACATACACATCTGTACGTATGTACGTAAACATACACATCTGTACGTATGTATGTACACACAAATCGTTGCCGTATTAGCCAGGGGAGCATGATAATTAAGATTTGATCTTAAAGACTTCCTGGTTTTGGCAATTGGAGTTGATGATGATCATCGATGCACTAAGCTGTGTGGCCATTGAGCTGGGAAGCAATTAGGCGATCGAAGGCTGCCCAACTGGTGAGCCCTGAGACAATTTGATGCAAGGACTTGGGATCAGGGGCGCCAATCACCTGGTTGCTGGTGTATATTAAGGGTTTAGTATTGTATTTGACCACCTCTGCCTTATCCTCTTCTTTACAATTCCTTTCCACTTGCTGAAACATTTGCTCCAAAGATCCTTCATCATAGTAGGAATCCAACATATGACCTGTATTAATTCCCATGTAGTTGAAGGAAGAATTGCTAGGGCTGTTTAAGGTTTTCAAGTTCTTCTTTTTCTTGATGAATATGTGACACACCACCCATCCCTCTTCCTCTGTTGCTGCCCCTCCCATAGCGTTGGAGACCTTGGATTTAAAAATATAAAAAAACAATAACAGCAAAAACATATCATATTCAAAAGTTGTAAGAAATTGGTACTTCATTTTCATATTCTATAGGCAAAGCAATGTTCTTTACAAATCATTAATTTGTTTGTAAATTTAGATCATACATTCAAGTAAGAATCAAGTTGATCACTTTAAGAAAGAAGAAATACGAAGAAGAAATTATTCAAAGTCTAATATGAACAACCAATAACTCTTCTAATAGCTAAGCTAACTAACTCGTAATCCGTTATTACTCTAGCAAATCACTGGTTTAGATTCACATTATGACAAGTTAAGACAAGACAACATTTTGGAATAATAATTATGGGAAGCGGGCGATTTTAACATATACAAGTTAGTAACCCTACATTCAAGTAACTTAAGTTGACCATTGATTCATATTCATAATCTAACAACATCACAACAATCATGAGAAGTGCGATTTTCACGGATTGAAGTTAGTGACAAAACAAGAAATTAATAGTTAGACTTTCTAAGCCGCATAGGATCATCAAGAATTTAGAAGGACAAAAAGGCTTACAATATGGTTATATTCGTACATGAGCCAATCAGATCTTTCTCCATGTGGAGCTCTGCCATTGTAGAACACAAGAGTTTTCCTCAACCCAATTGGCCTACCGTTGCTGTATATCACCTTATCACGCCCTGTGGCCTTCCAAAACCCAGCAATGGTTGCCCGATTTGTTCGCGTCCCACTGGGATACTTCTTGTCCTTGTGGCTAAACAAGTACCAGTCATTTTGAGGTAGGCTTCCTATTTTGCATTTTTCTGCTACAGAACACATTAAATATAACTTGATTGTTTTTCTAATCAAATCAAAATTAACCAAAACGAAACTTGGGTATAAGTTTAAGGACCATTACGGTTAAACCCTATATATATAGATGCATTACGTACCTTGAATGTCCCATGGCTCAAGCTTAGTGAGATCAATATCACGAATTACGTCCAGATCGATCTTCTCACATGAAACCCTCTTCCTCAGGTAATACAGCAAGAGCTCCTCTTCCGTTGGTTGAAATCTGAAGCCAGGGGGAACTTGGCATTGTCCATTCACACTCACAGATATACTACTCATTTTGTCGAAAGTTAACAAAAGGATGGAATTAAGAACTAGCTAGTGATTAAGTTAGTGAACTAGGGCATTTATATATTCCATGATGGATTAATATACTGTCTCTTGAAATGTATTATTTGATTCGAGGGTCCCTAAATCACAGTTGTATGCAACTAAAGTCTTAGACGGGTGCCAATTATTTCTTGTTGAAATCACAATTGACGGGGGGAACAGAACCCTAAAAATGACATTGACAAATTTATAAACATATGTAAATTTCGACAAATCCAAGTGCCAGAAAGAGATGAATACATATACATATATATAGTAAGAAAAGAGAAGGTCCAGAAAGAGATGAATTAATATTTTAAAGTTAACTTTAAGTTGGAGGCCTACCAAAATAAAAGACATCTTTTTTCCTATATGGGAGTGTTATCCAAAGACAATTAAACGCGTGTGGCCAGGGACATAAATACCAAAAAACTTAGAGCACCATCAAAGGAAAAAAGTTGTCCAGTTGGAGCATTATCACACTGAAAGTGCTTTTGCAGACATGGAAGAAGAACTGATAGGGAGTGGACCAAAGAATCTTCGAATGAATCCTTCTGTTTCATTGATTGTGATCATGCTTTTACCTTTCTAGTTGACTAGCTTGCTAGTTGTCTGGTTCGATGTAGATTGACAATTAGTTCTCTCTTTCTCTCTCTTCACCTGTATTTGCTTCCTTTGATTCTTGCTTCAATGTGTTTACCATGGTGACCTCTCTATACATTTTATTACTAAATAACACAGCGGAATAAGGGGAAACAAGTGTTAATCCTAGAACATGAAAGCTCGAATCCTCCTATGAAAATAATAAACTTAAAAATGAAGCTAATTAACCTCAAACCAAAATATGAAAATAACAAAAATCGAAACTTTCACCTAGCAAAAGGTGAAATTATGCATAAAGAGCTAGAGAAAATAAAAACTCACAGCAAAACGGTGAGTTTGACTTGTCTAGCCATTCTTTTCGAAGTGGTGCATTATGGGCGCAAATTGGAGAAAGAAACCTCAAATCTGCAGAAGTTGAATTTTCGTGTTCTTGGCTTGCACATGTCAAGCTACTCCCTCCTCAATCCTTTCCGTTATCTGCATGACTTAAGGATTAATCTGGCCTTTGTTAACATGATGGTTCTCTGAAACTTGACATTTCGAAATTATATGCATACGATGTTTTCTAAAAAAATTAATGAAGGACTTTCCAAAGCTACCGTGGGAAGTTATAGTTTTGGCGTGTATTTCCTGGTTTGGTGCCTATAATTGCATTAGACTGGATTGTAGGAAATGTATTATAAATCAAAAAGCTGCTTTCATAAAGCATTTTTCAAGGTGCAATCCATGGCTCGTCAATTCTTTTATATACGTTAACACAAGTTGGGGTATATTCGCACTAATAAATCACACCATTAAGGAGGCCCCGTTTGCATGCTTTATATTGCATGATTGCATTTCCACATTCTTATATGAATTATTGTTATATTTTATAATTTTTTTTTATACAAGCGATACTGGGAGAGAGGCGGATAGAACCTAAGACCTCTAGTGCATATATAAATACTTTTAACCAATTAAGTTACAAGCCCCTTACACATTATTATTTTATTGTTCATATTATACTAAAGTTTTGACCTTTGTTCCATGTTTCAAACATGCATGCATGGATGGTTGCAAATTAGAATTTGTTTAGCCATTTGATTAATGATATGATAATTAAGTGTTAAAACATAACACCAGATTCATCTATTATTTGACAAATAGTTGAATAACCAAATGATTTTCGATCTAATTGGTTTTTCTTTTTCTTTTTGGTAGAGATGATGGTCTTTAAAGGGTGATCAACAAGTATGGTTCCCATCATACAATTGATCAGTTGCATAATACAAACTTGATGGGAGAAGCTAAAAAGAGGAATGTAGCTAGCATTTCACACAAATTTAAAATTAAAGGATAGACAATTTTATTTGGAGATTTTGAGATATCCAGATTCCCACCTTTTAGCTTTTGAGAAAAGAATATTATATAAGCCTTTTATTTTGCATGTTGTTTCTTCTTTTTCTTTTTTTAATTAATTTCAAACCAGTGGCACTTTGACCTTAGTATAACATAATAATAGCAACTTTTTAATCTCTTTTAGCTTTTTCACCTTTCCTTTTTCACACATCAAACGGTCGCTTGATTAAGTCTATGCAAGCATATCTAGTTGTGATATTTTAGTACTTTTTTCCTTGGAAAAGGCAATAATATTTATTTATAAGAAGTATATAAAAAAAATTATAAAAAAACGACTCAGCTCTAGAGGATTAAGTGAGCATCTTAACATATTATGGTTCGATTGTTGGTGCGATCAAAAGGAACCTTGCCCTTGATTGAACGTCCCCCCTCCCCACTAGAGACCTAAGTCGTAAAACCTACTGGATTTTTCTATAGGCTTTTTAGGAGTTATGGTCCCTAAACTTTGTACTCACTTGAGCTTTAGTCCCTCAACTTTCAAAATAGCTTCCACAGTCCCTCAACTCCACATTCATTTGTAACAAAAGTTTTAGAGTAACTTATGTTACTTTTTTCCGTCAAAATGAGGGGCAAATTTGTCCTTTTAAGTATTTAGTCATTTTTTGTTTTCTAAATTAATTTAAATTTAAAATTTAAACAATTTATAATATAAAAAATTTAACTCAACCCCCAACCCTCTCTGCTTTTCGTCTTCTTCTCTCATAGGGTTAGGAGTTTCTCTATCCCTTTTTCTTTCAATTTTTGCTTTCCCTCTCTCAACTGCAATGGCATTGTGTACACCGTGTCTTGATAATTTTGGGCGGGGAGAGGGTGCGGTGATAAAATTGGGTGGGCCCTGATTTGGAAAAGGGCATGGGGCTGTGGCGAACGGAGACGCTGATTTGAAAGGGGGTTGCTCTGGGCGCGTCGGAGGTATTGTATCAGTAAAATCATTTCCCATGCAAGACGACATTTAAAGAGTTGGACAAATATAAAAAAAAATATTAATGATTATGCAAAGGCATCTCTTTACAGAGGCTAAGAAAATTTCCTTTTTTTCAAAACGACTATAGCCCAAAGTTCTTGACAAAGAGAATTTATACAGAATAGCAAACATAATTCAATGCTTCAAACCTACTTCCATAGTTGCCGAAACCAATTTGGGGTGGGTTGATGGCTGGAAGTGGCTGGTGAGCATTGGCGGAGTCTGGATTTCACATTAGAGGATCACTTCATAAAACTTGTCTTCTCTTCGTAATTATCATGAATTTCATATTTTAAATCGGTTAAATACTCATCATCTACACAAAGACTTAAAAATTAATAATTTATATTCCAACATAAGAAATAGAAAGAAAAACAAAATTCATAAAGCGCAGTATTAAAGTACCCAACTCATACATGAAACAAATGAGGAAAATCAAAAATACACAAAGCTTTGAACAAAAGAGGAAGAGAAAGAAAAGTTATTAAAACTTTAGGAGTGTTTAGTGCAAATATCACAAGCTAACCTAGAAGATTTAAGGGAGATGAGTAGAAGAGAGATCAAGAAATTTTATGGTTAATTTGTAGACAAAAACCTAATATATTATTTTATTTTATGGTAAATGTTGGCCCTATGTTGGCTCCGCCCCTGCTGGTGGGTCGTCGCTGGTGCAAGAGGTGGCCGGGGAGGCTGGGAAGCTGGATTTTTTACCTGAAACATTGAAAATGACCAATTTACCCCTCATTTTGACGGAAAAAAGTAACATAAATTACTCCAGGACTTTTGTTACAAATGAATTTGGAGTTGAAAGACTGTGGAAGCCATTTTGAAAGTTGAGGGACTAAAGTTCAAGTGGGTACAAAGTTTAGGGACCATAGCTCCTAAAAAACCTTTATATATATATATATATATATTGTATTGATCATGAGTTAATTACATTTATAATCACTTTCTGTGATGGAGAACCCCTTTTTAACCCCACATTGATTCTTGAATTATTAAAAGTTGTTTTCCAGTAAATAGTTAAGAACTTGTAAAGAATATATTCCCGACAAAAACATCTTAAGAAAACAATGCCACTTGATTTGTTTACTCACTTTATATTTTGGAATTGGGATTCTCATATAAATTTACAGCTAAACTGTCCCTGCTTCCCCTCTCACCCTCTCTCTCTCTCTATCAAATCATAGGCTTATAGGGTCTAAGTGACTTTAATCACAATCAAGGTTTGGTCGCGTTTAAAAGATACTCAAGGATGTAAGATTAAAACCAGTCCAATCACAGATTTGACATGCCAAAAATTGAGGTATTGCACACGTTAGCTGCTAGATTTCATATGCATCTTGTTCCTTCATATTTGATTTACATAACGACTGATATGTAACTTTAAGTCCTCAAATGAAACAACATTGTAGAATGCATTTGTATACGTATGTGTGTAATGCAGGTGAGGCTTTGGATAGTCCCAAAGAAAAAAAAAAACTCAATAGAGAGGAGTAGGAAGTAGTGTCAATGTCTATCATGCTTTTGAGTTAATGAATAAGTCCACTAGGGCGTTTTGAATAAGAAGTTCCTTGTTATGATTTCTTCTAAGTTATGCTCGATTTGAAGTTCTCCATCACCTCTTTTGGGTTAATTCCTCAATTAAATCATTCTCCTAAAACCCCCTCTCTACAACTTCTTATCTTGGCTAAATTTAATTATACCTCGTATTTGAAGGAGTTTGTTGCAATCTACCTGATTGGTTTTTGCCATGTTTGTGCGATTGACATAGGTTTTCACTGTCATGTGTTGTTGGATCATTGGAAACATGGTTTTTCCCATATCAGTCAGTGGTTTTGCATTGGCTTAAATGCTAGATGTGGTGGTGGGGTTGACGGTGGTGCTTCTTCAAGTGGTGGCAGTAGGGTTCATTTAGGCTCATGTGTTGTTTTAAGGTTTTGGTTATTTTGGGTGTGTTACAAAGGGAAGGTGAGTTTCTTACACACAGACTAACAATATGCCATAAGGGTTTGAACATGAGACCACTGGTATGCAAGTCAATGCCATTTTTAATTGAGTTAGATCCTATTAGCTTTTTTGAGATTATGTTTAACTGTAGTGATGTGGGTAATTGTTGATGTGTCTATTTTAGTGTGCCTTTTTAACCGTGTTAGTTTTGTTGCCCTCTAGAACTTGGTGTTAGTTTTATTGATTTATTAAAAACACAGGAAAAACATATGTGTGTGATTGGCATCCTTATCATCAATTTGTAGGGCGTGCAGAATTAATCTCTTATAATTATATTATATGTAAGGAGAATCTTGTAAAGGAGTTTTTGAAATTGACTTCAATCAACTTTCCTTGACAACTAATATTAAATTCCATGAAAATGAAAGATTTTTTGTTTTGTTTTGTTTTTTTTTAATTATAGATTTTTCCATAATTGAAAAGGGGGCAATTGAACGCAGATCTTGACATATTATGCACTATTGCAACCACAGTTTTTTTTGTAACTGATCGACAAAAAAATAAAAAAATAAAAAAATAAAAGCAAAAATACTTCAATATATTTTGTTTCTTATGCTTATTTCAAGTAAAGTAGCTTTCACCGATTGGCATTTCTCAAAATGGTTACTATTCCGATCCTTTTGCCTGAATTGGTAGATGATCATAGTGTGTTGCATTGAAAACTTAACCTCGTCCAAGAGAACTCTTTTTGTTTGTTATAATAGATGAATCTAATATTATAGGAGATTCTGCCGAAATTTTGGTAGAAGATTTGACTTTTTTATGCTTTAAAAAAAAAAAAAAAGTAAATGGGCTTGACATCCTATGGGTGTCGGAAGGAAAGCAGGATTTGACACGGATTCCAAGGAGGATTCGGGTCAGGTCCTGTCATCGAGCACATGGGTTTTAACTAAAGACCCTAAATCAAAAACCTAATGTACCTACCAATGCACATTATTCTCGCTTATGAGTCAATGTAAATTACACTAATGTATCTCCCAAATTAACAAACTTGTTTTCCTTATAAACATGGACTCAACTGTGATCAGTATACAAGAATGTCAATCTAAATTTTTTAAAAATAAAATAAAATCATGTATAGCAAAACAATAAATAGAAGCAAATAATACCAAAAGAAAAAAAAACACAAGTGTGATTAGTATGCACAAGTACAAATTGACGATAGGCATAGGGGGTAAACTAGTTTACCTACCAAACTGACAAATATGTTTTGCCCATCAAGAATATATTTCTTTACTACTCTGCATAAGCACATACCCACTTTGAAGTGCAAAAAAAGAACAAAATGATGACTGAATACCAAAAATGAAAATAAATAAATAAAAAGGAGCAAACTAATGTACCTATCAAACAAAACAAATGATACACAAACAAAACCACTTGGGAATTTCATCCAACATGTTACACACACCTAGTTGATATGTGATCAGAACGTGTACACTATCAAACAAGGCAACAATAGATACAGATTCATTAAAAAAAACAATCAAAAACAAAAAAACATATCTAAAATTTCTTGAACAGTAGAAAAAAAAACCCCACGTTTATGGAAAAATTGGCCCTTTTCCAAAAATTTAAATATGATCAAAACACCAATCTCCAAACTAAAACCAAAATCAAAAGGGATAATTAATTGTAGATAAAAATTATAGAAGGAACTACCACAATAAATTGGAGAACCAAAAATTAAATCACTACCCCATTCGTTGAATTGTAAATGGTATTTTGGGAACCTAAAAATTATAATAAATTAGATATTGAGCATAATAAGGTAACTTGATGAGTTAGATCTTAGTCATGGGTTATGGTTGATAAAAATTGGGTATTATTTATAGGAAAAAAATATAAAGGGTTGCAGGTAAGGCAAATTGAATTTGAAGAGGGTAAGACAAATTTAATAATTTTTTTAACATATCAAGTGGACGACCACGTTGGCTAAAACCCTTTTTGAATTTTAAGGGCACATTTGTAATTCAAGCAGGTTTTATAATAAAAAAAAACATAAATGTATTTATATTTATGGTATGAATGGTTTTGGGCATCAACCCAAGAACTGAAAAAGCTATACATATCCTAAAGAACCAGGGAAAAAAAAGCCCAAAAATGCTATACTCATGTTATGTAATATTTGTTTTAATATGTATTATTAAATAATAAAATTATATTATTTAAATATATTTAAAAATTATATATAATTTTTTATTGCCATATCCAAGACGTATTGTATTCTAGTTTTTAAAGATTTATTGTGTCCCCATGTCATGTCGTATTGTCATATTCGCATTTGTATCCGTGCTTCATATACTTTCATTAATTAATTAGGTTTTTGTTTTCTCAATTGATCAAGGTTTTGTGTTTTGATTAGTTGATTAGGAATAAATGTGCTATCGTTTAATTTTTCAATGTTATTTTATTCTTAAAAAAAATTATGAACTTTTACACAATGACCACATGTCATAAGAATCCTGAATCTGCGTAAGCCTAAAAGATATGAGACCAAAAACAAAAGGACCCATATATCATACCCAAAAACAAAGTTTCAAAACTGTTACAACAAAAATAAATCAAAGCACCTATTCTGTACCCCACACACACACACACAAAAAGCACGTAGCACTTAGATATTCTCAATATTATACAAAAAAAAACATTCTAGATATGAGACCAAAAAAATCAAAGCAGAGGATGAAACTTGAGGTTTGCTTCGCCCCCCCCCAAAAAAAACTTACAAGAGAAGAGTGGGAAGAAAGTACTAAACTTACAAAACTCTTTGAAGAAGGATAAAGATTTTTTCGAAGAGAAGAAAATTATCAAATTCCCAGTAGTTTTTTGTTTGGATTGCTTGGTCGGTTAATGACTCCTATTTTTATCCAGTGGTGGGTTTCACTTAATATTACATACAATTACTTTCTTTTAAACACATCCATAACATGCGTAGAGATTTCTAGTATGCAACAACTTCTTAAACACATCCATAACATGTGTGGAGAGTTCTAGTATGTACTAACTTCCTTTTTAAACGCATGCATAACATTTGTGGAGATTCCTAATATTTTTGGGAACAGAAAAGGAACAAAGATTACTTGGGGTGTTAGCCAACAGCAACCAAATAAAGATAAAAAAGGAAGAAGAAGAAGAAAAAAACAAACGCTGGTCATTGGGTATTATCTCTACACGGTAAATCCCTATTTTCACTCTTTCACCTCACAAAATCTAACAAAATCCATCTTTCCTCGTTTGTCTCTACAATCAGACAAATACAAACAATCACTGTTTTCTTAATCTGAACAAAAATAAATATAATACTATGAGATCATAATACTTTATATATATATAACTGAAATGTGACTGAAAACAATGAGATCTATAGTGGTAATAATTCATGCTTATTAAACAAGGGAGCTTCACAATTCTATTAAAATGGGGATACCTACAAATTAAAATTTGTATTAAACAATACAATATTTAGAGGTGGTTTCAAGTTGGACGCGGAAGTTTCCCAGAAATTGTTGGTTATATGCAGAACGTGAGGTTCCTTCTTGTTTTCTCCGACATTTTATTTTCCGAAATATTCCGCAATGTATTGACCAAAAAAGATGTTTCATAATGTAAGCTAATAATATGAAAAATCTTTCATTTGAATTGTTCAATAGCGCGTGGCTGCTCTAAGACTTTCTGGGTTATTGGTAATTCGGTCTCTTTCTGGCGATGATGCTTGATGGGTTGTGCTGGTTTTCACTTGGGTTTTCTTGTTTAGGCCGTTTGGTGCTGGATTTCTAGCTTTTCAATGAGGTAAAAGGTCATCCATTATCTGGGTTATTTCTTTATATTCTGGATGTTGATGTGTTTCGGCCAGTTTACAAATTTGAGAATGAATGGAATATGAATATAGTTTCTGATGTAACTTGCAGGGATTGCTGAATGGTGAATTTGGAATCTTGGCTGTTTATATAATAGGATCTGAGATTTTTTCCTGTATTGTATTGGGGCAATCTAGTTGGATTAACTTCACCATCTTAGGCATTTGTTTTGTAATTGGACCAAAAGGGATTGATCATATACACCTTTCAAGTTGGAAGGCCTGCAATTTATTTGTGTTGGACCTGTAAATGATTAGAATTTTCATATGATTGGTGGGGAGGTTGATTTAGGATTTTCTAGATAGAATTAACTTTGATATATTTCAGAATTGGTTTAGCATTAGATCGATTAGATAAGAATAGTGTACATTTATGGATCTAGCTGATGAAATGCCGGTCAACAACAGAGAGGCAGAGGAAATGGACAGAGAGGCCTCGGCAGAGGCTCCTCTCAGAGAGCCCCATCTCTACCGGAACCAGTTTGGGGGCATGGTGAGAAAGAAAGCCTATATCTTTGATGGTTTTGGGAAGTTTTACAATAAGGAATGGGATCTTACAGAAGGTAGGGGAAATGAGTTTTGTTGGTACCATGTGGAACTTCCAAAAGGAAATCAGAAACTTTCTCAATCTGCACAATACCTCATTGGTGTTCTTTGCCCGCCTTTGAAACTCCAAGACATTCTCTCTCTTGTCAGCAATGGACCATTTTGTGGGCATGTTGATGGGGCTCTTGTTTTCAGAGTCAACTCTCCTGGACCTCCATCCAGTGATTTTACATTTAGAATTGCCGCTAGAATTACTGAGAATGCAGTAATCACCGTGAGTTTGGGCCGTGTCCCCAGATTGGGTTTCTCACCAGTAGGTCAATCTCTTCTCTCAGAGATTCCTAGTGTGGAGAGTCCCTCTTATCATAGAGGTGAGCACAAGGAAAGGAGTGGGATTGTTATAGGGGAGCATGTTCTTGAGTTCTTATTGACAATGAATCACTCTGAGGAAGCCGATAATCCAGTGCCAAAATCTGTGTCAAATCTTGTAGTTCATATTGTTGACACGCATGTTGATCACCTCCAAGATGTTGTGACTAAACTTGAGATAGAATTGGATTCCGTTGAGCTTCAGCTGGATAAAGGTGAGTTCCAATTACTACATTTAAGCTGCCTCCCAAAAGATTTCATTTTAACATATTCTTCTGCCTATACATTGTTTATCACCGATATTATTGCTTTTCTGACAAATCTCTCTGGTCAATTTTTATTTCTCATCCAGTGCATTTAAAATGTTATAGAACTTAAAAGTTTCGTACTTCACACCTCACAGTTCTAATCTGTTAGTTCCGTTCTCTGTTGTAAGCAACTCTAAGGTGGTAATTGTTTTTGCTGACTTGGGATACCATCAGTAAATGGTGGGATGTACTTCATTGTCCTTTTTGTATAACTAATGACTTGTCATTGTTCAAGATATACTTTTCCATAGATATCATTTCAAATTGCTAATGATTTTAGTAATTGTATTATCTCCCATTTGTAGTTAGACTTCCACTTGATAAGTAACAAAACCTCTCTCTTCTTTGGCTCGTCCTCTGTAAGCCTCTCACCCCTTCCTCCCTCACCCCCAGGATATTTTGAGGTAGAAATTTGTTTGTTCTTTGTCTTTTGGAGGTTTGGATGGTGCCACTATACCACACTGAGAGTTTCGACTGTGGGGCTGTGTTTGTGTCCATTGGGTCTCAACCTGCTTGGCTTGGTAAAAACCCGTATTCAGCTAGTTTCAGTTTCCATTTTCTCAAGCCAATTAGCCTGGGTTAAGTTGGTATACGGATCCAATTGGTGTCCACCTCTAATTATAAGTTAATAAGAGATATTATAGGAAGACAAACCTTGTTCAGAATATCTGCTTTCATTTTCCTGTATATAATGGGAAAGCTAACCATAGTTGGTAAGTAATTTAAACAAATTGTTTCAGCAAATAGAACATTTCTATGAAAAGATCAGACATCAGTGTAGTCATAAGAATAGTTTACATCTTTCTTTCTTATAGGAAAGCATACGGGATCAATATTAGGACCTTTTGTTGATATCGTGCTGATGATTTAATCCAAACCAAATCAATATGTTTAAGGTGATATCTGACATTTTCTGATATCTTACACATGAACATGCTCTGGTTTATGTTGTTTGGTACACCTAATTATTGTACTATTGCTTTGATAATATGCAACTGACAGAATATCCATATGCATATATTCATCAGCGATTGCACTTGAAAGCCTTTCTAACTTATATAGCATCATTCTTTGCAAGTTGATCCTCTACATGCTACCTATTATACTTAAAATAACATACAAACTTTGGTATAGAAAATAGAAAGAAAAGTGGATTTTTAGGTGAGTCTTCTATGTAAATTTAGCACTTATTTCGACTGATTAATATACAGTGATGTTCTGATTTCTAACAGGCGGTTTTGCTTTGAAGAAACAAATGCTAGATGACAGAAGATTTCCTAAAATACATCTAGATCTGCAGCGCCTCCTGCAGGTAGTTTGTCAGCTCATCATTTTCTATGATGTGTGGAAGCAAGAAGGATTATGAGTTCTTCTAGCTTGCTTCCAATTAAAGCATTACTGCATATTTTTTATGGTGATTTCACAATCTACTTTATGATAAGTAGCAACATACCCTTTTAAAGCACAATGAAAATAGCCCAAAACCGAAAGTAGGCCAACCCTAATTGCAGTTTCATGACTTTAGAATACTTGATAGCTTTTCCATCAGCCATTTTGGTGGTTGGGTTCCCAAATAACACTAAGACTTCTAGTCTCTGGAGGTGTGTCATATCAATGTTTCTTGATTGTTCAAAGAATGTGATTTGGTAGGAACTGTAGCTCCTATTTGATTTAAGTTCTCATCAATGAACGAAACCATGTGGAATAATCTTTCTTGGTTTGCATTTAATTTTACTGAGCTCAGGTGATTGCTCATGGGGAGCAAGTTTTTCCTCGGGTCAAAGAAAAATGTTCCTCAAAACATTGGTTTTCCAGTGAAGATATTATCTCTCTTGAAGAGCTGATCGGACGGTTGAGGAGGCTAAAGGACAATGTAGGCTTTATAGCAAATCGTGTCACGGCAATACAGGCTGGTCTAGACAGCTGGCAAGCTGAGCAGATAAACAGGAAACTGTATTATCTCTCATTCCTTTCTATAATATTCCTTCCTTTATCCATCATTACCGGAGGTAAAGTTGTTCTTCAGCATTACTTTTCAGTTGCGGGATTTTCTGAGGCATTCTTATGCGTTTCCACTGTGAGCAAGAAGCTTTTGACAACAAGCATTTCTGTATTTCTTGCAGTGTTTGGCATGAATGTGGGGGGAGTTCCATGGACGGGACAAAAAGACCCAACGTTGAAAAATGGTTTCCGTAATGTCATGTTACTCTGTGTAGCTATGCTACTTCTGGCACTGCTCTGCTTCAGCTTTCCTTCTCTGTATACCAGAATATCTACTTGGCACAGGACAAGAGCCATGAAGAGAAGCTGGTCCCTCAACAGGAAGTCATTCCTCAGGAGAACCCATGGAATTGGAGTTCAAGAAAGAAGGGGCTACCTTCGGATTTGAGGATAGCAGAACATTCACAGTATGCCCTTTTATTTCTTCTTACTTGGTTCGCCGCCTTCGCATTATTTTTTGTTCATTTGAATATTCATAATTCCAGATCTTGTCCTCATCAACCTTAATTCTTTTTCTGTAATCTTATGTTGGTTTCTAATTGGTTTATACTTTCCTCCATTTTTTGTCCTTGGAGGCCAGCTTGTAAAATGTACAGTCTTGTATCATATGTTAAATACTGCTGCAGTAGTGGTTACTATTTCTTATTCCACTCCTTCTGTTGCTGAATAATGTATACTGAAAAGTTAACAGCTACATGATCATAACCATAGACTCCTTTAAACTGTTGTGAGGATTTGGGAGTTGGGGATTTGTTGATACCTTTTTCATTTCAAATATGAATCGCTCTTTTGCGACCTGAAAAAATAAATAGAAAGAAGAATTCAGTAAGGATGCCATAGAGAGATTCAATGTTTGTGATTAAACTAGCAATGAAGTCATTGCTTGCTGATTTTTCAACTAAATTTCATATGTATGGAGCTCAATGAGTAAAAAAGAAAAAAAAACTATCCCTTGCTTGAGATCTTCTGACCTAGAAGAGTGAAACTCAACTCAATATTTCATTGATCATTGAATTGGGAAATGTATATCAAATATCTTTTGCAAATGGAAAACGTGGGTTTCTTGATTCTTTTCACTTTTCCTGAAATTCTATGAAAGGTTTTGGTTTCTTTGTTCTTTTCCCTAAAGCCAAATTTTTTTATTTATTATGTTTTTTTCATTTCATTGAGGTTTAATGATAGAACCCAAACATAGAGAAAGGAAAGAAACGCCGCAGGAAAAGGAAGAGAAATGAAGAGAGAAAAACAAACAAGAAAATGTTCAATTCATTTTATCCAAATTTATAAATAAACCCAATCCTAGACATGTATTTATAAAAAAAACCCAAGTACTATTTAAACATAGAAACACACCCAAAATCAACCCCAAAATCAACTTTTTGGGTGTGTTTATAAATGGGTTTTGAGTGTATGTAATGATGGGTTTTGGGTGTGTTTATATGTTTAAATAGTGCTTGGGTTTTTTTATAATTTCAACCCCCATTTTGGGTGTTTTAGTGAAACTCCCTTCATTTTATTCATTCACATTTCGGTTTCTGGGTTTTAACCTTTTATCCATCCCGAAGATACAAACCGGTACACGCCTCTATTTAACCATTTGATTAAAGGGCTCGTTTAGTACGCCGGACTATACTGATTAAAATATGTCGGATAGTATTAATCTGTTCCGGAGAGTACTGACTGTTTATCCATAATATTATTAGGCGTTTGATGTTGTTCCAGATAAATAGTCTTACTAAGTAATATTGTGTTTGGTACTATTTCGGATAACATCGGATTAGACTATTTTTTCACAAAAAATTCTTTGATAATTTAAGTGGAAATATAGACAATATAATCTCCATATATATAATTAAGAAAAAAAAAAGAAAATATATTGAAGCCCAACAAAAGCAGGCAAGAAGAGAATCAACAGCCAGCAGTAGCAACACGAAAATAACCAGAAAACAACCCAATAAAGCACCAAAAGTAGAAGAAAAAAAATATACATAAGAAAAACATAGCCGCATGTATTGTTCTCATCGCCGACTAGAGACGATAATTTGATTATTGAGTTGGATACCTGGAGAAGATGAAATACATAAAGAAAAAAACACAAGAAAAACTCAGCAGCATGTATTGAGTTGGATACATAGCCACATGATGATTATTTGATTATTGAGTTGAATACACAGCTGCATGTATTGTTCTAATACAGCAAGAAAAAAAGTCAAAAAGGAAGAACTCATAACCTAATTTCCACAAAAATTTAATAAAAAAGGAAATATATAAGGAAAGAGAAGATGAAGACAAAAGAAGCATATTGGAGAGAGAGAGAGAGAGAGAGAGAGAGAGAGAGAGAGAGAGAGAGAGAGAGAGACATACTTGGAGAAGAGTGAAGTGAATAACCTTTGAAAAGATAACAAAGAAGAACCCTAGGGAGAAGAAGATGAAAATAGCGTCGTCGGATTTTTACGTGAACGTGTATGTTCTTTTTCCTTAGTTGCATAATTAAGCGTGTATTATCTAAACCAGAGTATGTGAGTTATATTAGTTAGTCATATAAAGAGAGTATTAAAAGCCCAACCCGTATAAAATAGTGAAGTAATTAAATAATACAAGTTGACACCAAACACCTGACATGGACTAGTTACTCCTATCCATAGTCTAATACGGTATACCAAACGAGCCCAAAGAGTGATCAAAGTGCCCATTTTGCATTGATTATTTGGGGTGATAAGTGATTTTTTAAAAAATTTGGGAAGCCTAGCCCATTTGGTAAACCATGAGAAAACCACTTATTGTTAAAAATTGTTGTGAGAGAAAGTTATAAGGGAAAACCGTTATAGAGCTACTTTCATTTTCTGATGATGCAGCAATAAGTTTAGAGAGACGCTAAAGTTTAATGAAAATTTCAAAATTCCAAAAATAACCCCATATGTTTTCTTGTCAATTTCAGTCTTCTCAATTAGGGTTAGAGAAGCTTCTCATTGATTTGGATTTATCATACAACTCATATTGATCCTAAACCATGAAATTTTAAAAGCTTCAATTCTGTTTTGCTTTCTAAATTGTTAATGAGTTCCCGCCTTTTGATTTAGTTCACTAAGTGGTTGTTGTTGATATACGAAACATTGTAGAACCAAAACAATTAAAAAAAAAGAGAGAAGAAAATAGCAAGACGCAGAGAGATGAAAACATATTTAATACAAAATATATATATTTAAGTGCAAGTGAAAATTTCCTTTTACCAAAAACACTTGAACAGAAAAGTCATTTCAATATAATGTCCTTTTTAGTCATTATACACAGCACACAACACTTTTACACAAAAATTTATCAAACACTTCGAAACTGATTATTTTCATAGCAAATCTGACAATGATTATTTTCACAGCACAACAATGCCAAACTAAGCCCTTAGTACCTTTCCTTAAAAATGATGAATTCATCTTCTTATTTTTTAGTAATTCATCTATTTATTTATTGGTTTTTGAGAGATTTCTCAAGTAATATTGTTTAAAAGATCTAGGAATGAGAGTCGACTAATATGTTGTATATGTTGGCGTGGGCCCTGATTTCCTAGTCTAATTACACGTTACTTAGAGATAGTTTTTTTTTTTTTTTTTTTTTTTTTTTTTTTTTATATGGAAATAGAGTAGTTACATAGTTAGGATTCCTTATAATTAACTAATTACTTTTCCTCATATGAAAAGTAAACTTATACTTATTTATATATATATATATATATATATTAAGGACCGCCCCTTGTCTCTTATGTTATCCATTAATGAATTAGTACATATAGATTTTTATTAATTTTAATATTAATCAAAATAATCAAAAAAAGACCAACCAGATTGGGGAGGAAGATTGGAATTAGAGATTGATAGAAAAGCCAGGATATGGGCTCTATATATATCCTCCTTATGGAGAAATATGAAATATAATTCACAATCATTCAATCATGTGTTTTAGTTTTAAGTTGGTATCAGAGTCGGCTAATACTGGTCTCTCAAAACAAAACACACACAAAATCCTAGCTTATCGGCAACATTTACCGCTGACAGCAACCAAACACAAAAAAAATTAATAATAATAACTCATACCCTAAACACCCCAACCACAGCCGCCAAATCCAGTGCTTCAGAGACCTAGAAACTCTTAACATGCAACAACCAGTTGTTATAGTTTGAAATGATAATTTTGTTGCCCCGTTCACTATACGGTTGAATGGGAAGAACAATAACACTTGGTCGAAGATGATGTTACTTCATGTGTCAGGCCAAGGAAAAAGAGGTTATCTGATAAGGAATGTGGCTTAAGTGGAGGAGGAAGCTTCGAGCTTTGATTCATGGTGGATTGTGGACTCCATTGTTAAAGGATGGTTGATAAAAACCACGAAGCATAAAAGTGAAGTTGGTTCTTTATTCAAGAATTTTTACAAGATGATTCAAACTCAATATTCTTGTTCGATTAAAGTTGTTCGCTTGGATAATGGCAATGAATTTGTTAACCAAACACTCGCATACTTCTGTACTAAAAAAGGCTTTCTCTATGAAACTACTTACCCGCAGACTCTTGAGTAAAATGGTGTGATTGAATGCAAAAATCGTCATATTATTGAGACTATGCCAGCTCTCCCTTTGATTTTGGGGTGGGGGGTGTTCTCCCAACTCCTTTGAGCCGAAGCTATTCAGTATGTCATCTACCTCCTTTGGATCCAAATACTTACTTATCTTTAGTTTAAACTTATTTCTCAATTCTTACTCACCACTTTGGAGTGTAAACAAACCAAGTCGAATAGCATAGTGCTCAAGTTTGGCTCGTTAAAATCTATTCAGCTTAAGTTTATATGAGCTTATTTCTTTTACAAGCCGAGCTCGAACGACCTAAATAAATGTCAAAACAAACTCAAGTTGGATCAAGAAAATTCATAATAATAAGCTTATTTATTTTACTTTTGTAACATAAATTTCAGAACTAAAAAACACAATCATGATACTTTAAGAACAATACATAGTCAATATAAAATCTTCAAATAGAAGAAAACAAACATAATGCTTTGAGCTTTTGCATGTGGAAAGAAATGCTTCGAATTCATTGTTCAAAAGATTGCTCATCCAAGCAAACTTCTTTTATAAACAAGCTGCTCACGAGTTTTACGAGCTAAACATTCCGAAGATCAAACTTGGTCAAGCCAGGTTTGCCCAAAAATAAAAGAAAAATAATAATAAGGGAATAAATTGTATAAAATCAAAAAATAAAAAGATTATTATTTTATTTTATTTTATTTTTGTCTTGAAAAATAAAAATATTTAAATTAAGCACGGGATTTGGTTGTGACTTCGGAGTGCAGCCCAAGAAAGCTTCTTTCTATCCCAATAAAATAGGCACATTAGGGAAAGTCAGATCAGACCACCTCCTTTCGCCACGTAGCACCGCACAACCAGCTACACATAACGCGACGTCGTCTCGCTACTATAAACCACAAATGACAAACCCACCATACGACACCGTTTAAAGATAGATCCAGAACTTTCCACACGCATCCTTCGCTCAATTTCCGCCTCATAAAAGAACGCCCTCCCAACAAAAACCCTAAACCCTAGAGCTCAAAACCCTCCCCGTGTTTCCCCTTTCGAGTTCTTCGTCTCTGTGCGTGTTGTTCTAATCACAGCATCTGCCATGGCCACCGCCGCGTTACTCCGTTCCCTACGACGTCGTGACATCGCATCGGTCCCTCTCTGTGCCTACCGATCCGTACGTCTCTTACCCTTGCTCAGATTCTCTTCAAGTTCGCAACTTTTTCGTCTTTGTACTCTCGACCCTCGATCTTCTTTCATTCTGATCTGTCTTTCGGGTGAAATAACTTAGCTTTTTTTCATTTTGTTATATAAATTTTGATTTTATGAAGTTTTTGTTGGTTGTGATCCGAGGAATTAGAAACGAATAAGTGAACGACTTCTTTTGAAATGTTTAATATTTTCCTCCCTTTTCTGAGAGGCCAAACAGGGGAACGGAGCTGAGTGTTTTTTTAAAAATATATGTGTGGTTTGCGTGATTATCTTTCAGGCTTGTGGTGTGTAGTTTTGTTGTTTTGACTGGGTTAATGATGGTTACTTACTCTTGAATTAGGTTGAAGCTCTTTTTCACTGCCATCTTTGCCTGATGACTGACATTTAGGGCGGTGGAGTACTGTTGTTTTTATTGCCAATTTCAACAAAGCTTGAGGATCATTTTATAGATCTTTTAATTTCTTTTATTTTATAGAAATTACTGCTTAGTTCAGATGACTTGATGAAGATGGAATTTTATTTACATATAGGGGCGATGTAATGGGTTATAGTAGGAAACTCAGTTATATATGAATTGAAGTTGTATATGATTGTTCATTATGCATCGTAGTGCTTATTATATACTTTATGGTTTTGCAGTTGAATAGCACTTCTAATTCATCACATCTTGTTCAAAAATGGGGAAGCTTGGCAAGAACTTTCAGGTATTTTGGACTTGCCTAGTTCACTATGTAAATATTTCAAAAAAATTTCTATGTTGGATTGTTTTTAATGAAATCTTCTCTGATAGTTCCAAACCTGCTGGAAATGATGTTATTGGCATTGACTTGGGTACTACCAACTCATGCGTGGCTGTGATGGAAGGAAAGGTAAGGTTATTTATAAGTTCTTACTGATGTTCTGACCTAATTTCTTGTTTAAGCTTTTTGTGCAAGCCATTTATGTCTGATTAATTGTGGATTTGTTATAGAACCCCAAAGTCATTGAGAATTCTGAAGGAGCTCGAACCACACCATCAGTGGTTGCTTTCAACCAGAAAGGAGAACTATTGGTTGGTACTCCAGCAAAACGTCAAGCTGTCACGAATCCCACAAACACAGTTTTTGGAACCAAGCGTCTGATCGGTAGGCGCTTTGATGATCCCCAGACTCAAAAAGAAATGAAGATGGTTCCATACAAGATAGTGAAAGCTCCAAATGGAGATGCTTGGGTTGAAGTCAATGGTCAGCAGTACTCCCCAAGCCAAATTGGAGCCTTTGTCCTAACAAAGATGAAAGAGACTGCGGAGGCTTACCTTGGAAAGAGTGTAACAAAAGCTGTGATTACAGTTCCAGCCTATTTCAATGATGCGCAGAGGCAAGCAACAAAGGATGCTGGCAGAATTGCTGGTCTAGATGTACAGAGAATCATAAATGAGCCTACTGCTGCTGCACTTTCCTATGGTATGAACAACAAGGAAGGGCTAATAGCTGTGTTTGATCTTGGTGGTGGAACATTCGATGTATCCATTCTGGAGATATCCAATGGCGTTTTTGAGGTTTGCATACTTTGCATCCAGTTAATTCTTTTTTTTTCCCTTCATTTTGTAAAATATCAGTAACAACTCTCTCTTATGTAGGTGAAAGCAACAAATGGCGACACATTCCTGGGAGGAGAGGATTTTGACAATGCTTTGCTGGACTTCTTGGTGAGTGAATTCAAGAGGACTGAGGGGATTGATTTGGCAAAGGATAGGCTTGCCTTGCAGAGGCTTAGGGAGGCAGCTGAGAAGGCGAAGATTGAACTTTCATCAACATCACAAACTGAGATTAACCTTCCCTTCATTACAGCTGATGCTTCAGGTGCTAAACATCTGAACATCACGTTGACCAGATCCAAATTTGAAAGTCTGGTAAATCACTTGATTGAGAGGACAAAGGCTCCATGTAAGAATTGTCTGAAGGATGCTAATACGTCTATTAAGGATGTCGACGAGGTCCTTCTTGTTGGAGGGATGACACGTGTTCCCAAAGTGCAAGAGGTTGTTACACAGATATTTGGCAAGAGCCCAAGCAAAGGAGTGAATCCTGATGAGGCTGTTGCTATGGGAGCTGCCATCCAAGGTGGTATCCTTCGTGGTGATGTTAAGGAGTTGCTTCTTCTTGATGTCACTCCTCTATCGCTGGGCATTGAAACATTGGGTGGAATCTTCACCAGGTTGATTAGCCGCAACACAACAATTCCAACAAAGAAGAGTCAGGTCAGTCATTAAAGCCAGCCAAATGTACTTCAGATTACATCAACTAGTTGATACGTTGGTGTGAAGGGTGAATTTATAAGGAATCATTTTATTATTTTCATTTCTTCTTATTAGAGTTAATATGAGTTGGAGGGTCGGGGTTGGCTGGATTGCAGTTTTGATCTTTGACCTTGGTTTTGTTTTCCTTAGGTTTTAATTGGACTCCACCTTCTTTCCTTTTGCTGTCGATTTTGTGTTCCTGATTTGTTTTGTATCATTTCAGGTATTTTCAACCGCGGCTGACAACCAAACTCAAGTGGGTATCAAGGTGCTACAAGGAGAGCGTGAGATGGCTTCTGACAACAAGATGTTAGGAGAGTTTGAACTCGTGGGCATTCCTCCAGCACCAAGGGGCATGCCTCAGATTGAAGTCACCTTCGATATTGATGCCAATGGTATTGTCACTGTTTCTGCCAAGGACAAGGCCACCAGCAAAGAACAGCAGATTACCATTCGCTCGTCTGGAGGGCTTTCTGAAGATGAGATTGAGAAGATGGTCAGGGAAGCCGAGCTACATGCTCAGAAAGATCAAGAGAGGAAAGCTCTAATTGACATCAGAAATAGTGCCGATACTACCATCTACAGTATCGAGAAGAGCTTGAATGAGTATCGTGACAAGATCCCAAATGAAGTTGCCAAAGAAATTGAGGACGCAGTTGCAGAATTGAGGACGGCAATTGGAGGGGACAATGCTGAAGAAATTAAGGCCAAGCTTGAGGCTGCAAACAAAGCTGTTTCTAAGATTGGGGAGCACATGTCACGCGGTTCAGGCGGTGACTCTTCTTCCGGTGGACCAGGGACAGAGGGTGGAGACCAAGCTCCCGAGGCAGATTACGAAGAAGTGAAAAAGTGAGTGCCGGAGCAGTAATTGAGTTTACTTAATTCACTGTCAAAGATGAAGTTCTAAATTTTTATTTGCCCGTAAAACCTCACCTCTTTTGGTTTTGTATCTAAGTGTTGGGAGTTTAAATGTATTAGGGAAGCACGATCTACTTCCTCTGCCCTTTTTTCAGTACATTTTTAGTCGAGATTTTGTGGTAGTCATTAATCACCGGTATTTCTTCTGGTAAGTTATCCATGAGAGGATTATGCCTGGTTTTGTCCAGGCAGGACGGACTAATTTTAGCTGTTCAAAGTTTGAATAATGAAATAGGTTCAGAATTCGGAAAAGCATATGCTATGCTTAAACCTCATGCTCTGACTTCGCGTCCTATGCTCTGCTGCTGCTGCTGCTTATTCATTCTTTCCTCAATCACATTTCCCCATTTTAATCAATCAACGGTCAATGATCAAAAGTTATTGCAACTCTTGCACATTTTTGGAAGCCTTATCTGGGACAAGTCAATTCATACACAGATTAACACCAATGCTATGTACAAAGACCAATTTGGCTTACATCAGGGAAAGGGTGTTGAAGAAAATTGAGGGTTGGAAACAATGCATTCTCTCCTTGGCAGGGAAAGAGGTCCTAATTAAAGCTATTGCTACAGCTGTACCAACTTATCCCATGATGTGTGTTCTTTTCCCCAAAGCTACTTGCAGTGATATTTGCAGTGATTTAGCAAAATTTTGGTGGGGAAAACCTGACAGTGACTCGAAAATTCTTTGGAAATCATGAAAAGCTATGAGCCTAGCTAAATCTGAAGGGGGTTTGGGGTTTAGAGACTCATATGATTTCAACTTAGCCTTACTTGCTAAGCAAAGCTGGAGAATCCTCAACAACCCACATGCTTTATGGGTTAAACTTTTAAATGCGCGATATTTTCCAGATTGTGGCTTTAAGGATGCTACTTTGGGGCATCGACCTTCATGGATATGGAGAAGCTTATTGGTAGGCAGAGATACTGTGATGAACAATGCTAAAAGGCAAATAATGAATGGGGAGAGTACTAATATTTGGGCTGATAATTGGATCCCTGAGGTAGGGATTATTACTCCGCTTGTTCCAATACCTATCAACGCCCCTCAATTGGTTTCAGAAATTATTGATGTGAGGAGTGGTTCTTGGAACTTAGACTCGGTGGCAAGCTATTTAAGTTGGGAAACAAAAAGACGTATCCTTTCAATACCTGTGGGGGCCTCAAGGCACCAAGATAGAGTTGTTTGGCCATGGGTGAGATTAGGATATCACGTTCTTCATTCAAAACATAGAGCTTTGGCTATGGGGAATTTGCATTCGTCCCATATTATACCCATCCAGGTTTGGAAAGCAATCTAGCAGATTAGCACTCTGCCAAAAATCCAGTTGTTCATGTGGAGAATTGTCTCGAATGCAGTTCCAACTAGAATGAATTTATTTTGAAAAAATATTTGTGGCTCTCCTATATGCTCTTTGTGTGATCAGTTTGAAGAAATGATAGAACACTTGTTTTTCTCTGCCTCTGGACTCAGGCAGTATGGTTTGGGTCCCCTTTGTTGCGAATTGATCAACATCGTTTGAGAACTTTTGATGTGTGGTTTAATGAAATTTTGAGTATTTGATCGGAGTCTAAGCAAGACAAATTGGATATGCTTACCCTTTGAAATTTTTTCCTTTGGGAGATTTGGAAAACCAGGTGTAAGGCTGTCATTGAAGGGAGCACCATTGACCCAGCCAAGGTTATTGAGAATGCGCTAAGAGCTCAAATGGAGTTTATTGAAATCTGAAGGTTCCTAGTGATGAAGTGGCTGTGAACAACATTTTGAATGTCCATCTTGCTTCCTGGAACGCACCTTCAGGTGATTTTGTGAAAATAAATGTGGATGAAGGATGGATTGGTGACACTCTGAAAAGTGGCGTTGGTGTTGTTATTAGTAATACTGATGGTCAATTTGTTGGGGGTTTAGTTGGTCCTATTTGCTGTGATTCAACACTAGCTGCAGAAGCTCATTCAGCAATTAAAGGGCTTGCTTTGTTAGCTAACCTTGGCTTTAGAGATGTCATTGTGGAAACTGACTCAAAATTGCTTATCAATGGGATAAATGGTGACTTTAGAAACAAAGTGTGGTCCATTATGCCCCTTCTTGAGGAGCTTCACAGAATCTGTGGGTCTATGCGTGAGGTTCGATGGAGCTAGGTGCATAGAGATTTAAATCAGGCGGCTCATGAAGCAGCCATGATTGGAGTTAGAGCTATGAAGCTGGAAAGCTGGGTCTTACGACCACCATTGTCTCTGGTGCAAGTTCTGGTCTCGGATGGACTCCCATGTCCTTAAGTTTATTTTTGTTTCGGGTTGAAAGTTTTTCTTTGCTGGGTTGTATGGATTCAGTTGAAAGGCTTTCAGTTTTGCTTTCTTTCCTTTATTGTAAGCTCTTTTGCCGATTTTTCAGCCTTGGAATGAAGTTTCAGACTTGACCAAAAAGAAAAAGAAAAAAGAAGACCAATGCTATATACAAAGACCAATTGTCACATCCCGGGATCAGCTCCATCGTAGCACGATATTATCCGCTTTGGGCCCCCCTATCTGCCTTCACGGTTTTGTTTCTGGGAACTCACGAGCAACTTCCCAGTGGGTCACCCATCCTGGGATTGCTCTAGCCCCAACTCGCTTAACTTTGGAGTTCCTATGACTCCGAAGCCAGTGAGCTCCCAAAAGGCCTCGTACTAGATGGAGGCGGGCATGTACATATAAGGCACATCACCCCCTCTTTCTTGGTTGATGTAGGATGTTACAATCCACCCCCCTTAGGGGCCCGATGTCCTCGTTAGCACACTCGCACCACATGGCAGAGTGGCTCTGATACCAAATTGTCCCATCCCTGGATCAGCTCTGTCGTAGCACGATATTGTCCGCTTTGGGCCTCCATATCTGCCCTCACGGTTTTGTTTCTAGGAACTCACGAGCAACTTCCTAGTAGGTCACCCATCCTGGGATTGCTCTAGCCCCAACTCGCTTAACTTCAAAGTTCCTATGACTCCGAAGCCAGTAAGCTCCCAAAAGGCCTCGTATTAGATGAAGGCGGGCATGTACATATAAAGCACATCACTCCCTCTTCGTTGGTCGATGTGGGATGTTACACCAATGGTGGAGAAAATCATAGCAAAGGCTCTAAAAGCATCTCCCCTTCCTTTTCTAAGGATGGTTGAACGATTTCACAGGTATGGAGTCATTGAGGCTTAATAACCTAACTCCTCTCCCTCATTCCAATTACTTTTTATTTTCTAGAAGTGAGTTTCAGCCAATTTTCTTTGTTGTTACGTTGCTTGTTGGGTAGAGGAGATGACTAGATAGCCTCCAGAGTATATTCATGTTAAGGAACATAGGGCAATACTTCTCGAAATGAGGGAAAAAAACAATATGACATCAGTTTTTCTTTCAAATGGTTAAGAAATTGTTCTCTGATTGTGCCCAATATTTTTGTTTTGTTAAAATGGATTTATGGATTTATGGGTTTGTAATGAAACCTTTATAGTGAACAAGAAGAACAAGAAGTTGATTTGAAAACTTAGAAGAAGAATTTGATTTGAATAGGCAAAAGAATAACTAGTTTTGAAACCCTAGAAGGAGAATTGAGCGAAAGACCTTTTGCCAAAGAAGCAGACGTATTCAACTCTTATCTTTAAGGGGTTTTTTGTTATTGTTAAATATGACATGTTAATTTTTTAGCCTTTGGATGATTTTTTTATTTAGCTTAGGATAAAAGCCAAGCAATTCTTCAGAGGATCTGAAACAAGGGCTACAATCAAGCCCATAAAAATGGCCCAAGTTCGATGAACTAGCTTAACCCCAACCCTTTTATGGGCTATGAACTGGGGGGTTTGATACTATGGCGGGCTTAGCCCGACCTGATACTATAGGCATGCTTCGTCTCGCTCACTGTGTAAAGGATAAAGCATGAGCCATGATTTATAAGCTCATCATCGCCTCCTATGTTATTGTCGAAACCGAACCGACTCACACTGATTTCTAAATGAATTGATTGTTGTTGGTTAAAGATATCATCAATTCAGTGTCGCTTGCCAGATAGTCGACACCCACGAGGTCGATTTAGTGAGACTCTAGCAACACATTTTTGTTATGTTGCCTAGATATAGTTTTAGTACTCTTAGATATGACAACAACAAAATTGACGGGCATGGTGGAAAGGGCCTTGACTTGCAAATCAGTGGTATCAAGTTCGAATCTCATGACACCTTGACAATGTATGCGAGTAAACCTCCATCCCCTAATATCGCTTGTATAAAAAGAAATGCCCCCACTTTTTGGGACCATTGGAGCAAAGGTGGTGAGGGACGTGAAGTGTTGGGCTAGATATTAATGGGTTCCATTAATTTGAGCGATCTGATAGAGGAGCCGAATTGGGATGGGTTGAAAAATCAAGAGAGTCTTGGGTTAGAGAAAGCATATAGGCTATTTTAATTTTTCAATTGAGTATTCAGGGAAAAAATTGGAAGTCTGAAGCAAAAGATGTGGGCAGGCCCAATATGGGGTGGTATTGGGGCGAGATATTTATATGCCTTTATTCTCGTAAGTGAACATTGAGTTCACATTCTTCCCATATTATATGTCCCAACCTAAGCCCTTTGTTCCTCCTAACTTGAAACTATGGGTGGGCACGATTCGGTTTGGTTCAGTTCTCACCTCAAACCGGAATCGAAACTGGTACTACTTAATTGGTTCAGTTCGGTCCGGTTTAAGTAAATTTTAAAAAAAAATTGGCCGGTTCGATTCTGACTGGTTCCAGTTCGGTTTTGAACTGGATTATTAATTTAATTTTTTTTCAAATTTTTTTTAATATTTTTTAAAAATAAAAATGATAATAAATAAGTTATTTTTTGCTTAAAATTTAACAAATGACCCAATTCATACAATGATAAATTTTTTGAAGTTGAATTTGGAAAATTATTAATTATAAAATTTAAAATATAGCATTGGATTTTAAAATTTTGTAATAAAAAAAATACAACCGATCCGGTTCGGTCCGATCTGATTTGGTGCTGTGTAAAATCAAAACCGAAACCGATTGGAACTGGTTTGGTCAGGTTTGTTGACTTTTTTTGTCATTCGGTTTTTTTTCACCAGTCCGATTCGATGTTTCGGTTTTCTGGTACCGATGCCCACCCCTACTTGAAACATGACCGTTGTGTCTTTATAGAAAAAATTTAACGTATTTACTTCTCCTCTTCCTTTTGCCTGTATGCCCTATTTGGTTTATGGGAAAGGATGCTTGAGAATGAGAAATCAATTACTTTTTCATATTTGGTAAGTCTAGGCATGAGAAATCGTTGCCTTGTGTATGAGAAAGTAGGGGGAAAGTGAAATCCTCATCCCCTCTTGGGTTTTGTTTTCCTTCTCATTGGAAAATTTGGGAAAATGAGCCAACGTTAAATACACATTTTTCATGACCATATTGTCCCCATAAAAAATTTAGAATCACAATATAGCATTAAATGCATTCATTTTTATTTGATTTCATATGGGTATAATTGGAAAATTAAACAAACTTTGTTTTACATTCCTTCACAAACCAAACATGTGAAATCCGACCAAAAAAAACCAAACATGTGAAAGGAAATAAAGTGGTATTTCTTGGTTACTTTCCTTGGATTACTAAACATGGGAAATGAATCTTCATTTCCCATCCCTTGAGAAATGACATGGGAAGTGATTTACCCTCAAATCTGTTTCATGAACCAAACGGGCCTTAGGGTTGCAAGTTGGATTGGAAAATACAAATAATTATGTCAAATTTGTGCACAAAGAAAATTATTTTACATTGAACACAAGAAATCGTGTCAAACTAATTCAGTAAGTACTCTCAGAGAAGTTTTTGCCAAAAAATAAGTGATCTTAATTTAAGTACTCTCGGAGAAGTTTATGTGACATACATGACACCCTAGACATAGAAACCACTAGGGGTGAGCATCTCATCCGAATTATTTGCATACCGACCGTACCGTACTGACGATTTGGTTTGGTTTGGTTAAATAATTATTTTTTAATTTTAATTATCCCGATCCGATCCGTACCGAAATGTTTGGTTTGGTTAACAGAAACAAAATTCCTAATATGATGAAAACCCGTACCAATCCGATAGTTATACTTATTTTATTATTTAAATACAAAACAAGAAACCAAAGGTAAATACAATCAGCATTTTGTATCACTCCTTTATCACTACTGTATCGCTTATTTCTCACTATTGTATCACTACTTTATCACCATTTTATCACTGCTTTATCACCACTATATCACTTCTTTATCACCATTGTATCACGTACTCGGGTACTGTAGCACTTTTTGGTCTAAGAGGAATTTATGATCTTCCTATGTTTTCTAGTTTCGACCTTTGTCTCGTGTTTTACCTGTAGCTTTCCAATTGTTGATCCAAATTTTATGTTCTTTATATGGTTGGATTCAACATGAAAAACTAAAGAATTCTTCGCAGAACAAATGTCAAAATTATTTACATAAATGTAGAGAATTCAATAAAAAGAACACTCAAAGGTTCAAACAACAAACACAAGTGGCTCATAGTACATCTTGATTACATATTGAATGATATAGTGACTAAGTTATTTGATTTCATATTTGGATGAATTAGACTATTGGATTTTTATATTTTACAAGGATAATTTGGTGTATTTATTCAAGAACTTATGTTATGTAAAAGTATTATAAATTGTATTTTTATAAGTATGTTTTTATTACGGTACTACCGACATATCGGCCAATCCAAACCAAATATTAGGTTAACCGATCTGAAGTCTACCGAAGTCTTTAATTTAGTTAACGGAAGAGCCTTCTACAGTTCCGAACCGATCCGTGTCCAGGTCTAGAAACCATATATTGTGCCCACTAATTTATAATAATTTTTCTTTAGGAAAATCTATAATATGTGTAACGTTTTTTGTTTTTTTGGGTTTAAGTACGTTTTATTTTGTTATTTTCCTGGAAAAGCTTGAACCGATCTCCACCCCAAGAAAAAATTGCTTCCATTCCACTTCCTTTTCTAACCCCTAGAAAAACCCTAGAAATTTTTTGACCGGTCCTATCTCCCTCTCTAAGCTCTCTCTGTTCGGCGCCGCTGCCATCCAAGACCTCCATTTAAAACTCAACATTCAGACCTAGAATTT